CTACATGCAAATTGGATGCACAACATATTTTTTAGAAACTAAAATAAAGAACAAGTTTGTTAAAATAATTTTTATTTCATTAATAACAATATTGTATATGTATATACACACACAGAAAGATGAAATTAATTAAAGCACATTCAAGTATGTTAATGAAGCATGAAAGTTAGATTCAGCAAAATGTTTTAATAAGTTTAAAATATTGATAAATAAATTATTAATCACTGAAGGAGAAATTTTAAGTTGTATACAAAAAATATAAATTGTGTTTCGATAAGGCAATTATAATGAAACTTTGCATCCATTTATTGCTCGTAATTGCATTGATTTGTTAGATATTAATATTTTTCTCGTTGGTCCTTGACATTGATAATATTAAAGATCATCTTTTAGGTCCAAAGCAAAACATGCGTTTAGTTTTACGAAACGTATTATGTATCTTACTTTTTAGTGGTGAAGTTGTATTACTTGGAGATATGGATTGTTGTACTATTGGGGTAGATGATATATGAGTTTCCAATTCAACTTGTAGCTTATTACTATCAACATGATTACGAACTCTATCAGCAGATTTATCATTATCTGGTTGATGTCTTTCTTGAACTTGAATCTCCTGCTTTAAATCTGTAACAATGAGCACTCTAGTAGAATCATGTTATTCGGTAATTATTTAAATTTGATCAGTAATTCATTTGACCTCTAATTTCATCCATTAATCTCTGTACTATTACTTTTAGGCCTTCTTTTTCATCAAGTTCTGATTCCAGCAAAGCATTCTTTTCAATGGCTGAATTAAGTTTAGCTTCTATCTCCTCTTCTGTTACCCTATTTATCCTAAAAAGTTAAATAAATTGTGATACTTCATATTCTTACTTTTATCACAGAGGATGCAAGTAATTAAATACCTATGAGCTCTTTCTAAATCATCATTTTTTTGTTCTAATTCCCTTATATACTTCAATAAATGATCATGTTGTGCTTGCAGATCTTGAGCCTTTCCTTGAAACATCGAACAATCTGCTGTTTGTTGATCTAATCTTGTTCTCAATTGCTCCACCTCTGTGGCTAATCTAATGTTTCGTTGTCGTAGTTCTCTACTAGTTTTCTCCGCTTGTTCCAAAGATGCTTCCAATTCTTTCTCTAACAATTGTGAGTTTTCTTGAAACTCTTCCAATTCCCTTTCTGTGTCTTCTTTTCTATAATAATAAAACAAGAGCTTTTATCTTTTGGTAATAACTCTAATCCTTGGTCATCTCAGAATTGCTTAATACGAACATATAAACAATATAAATAATATCTTAACGTTAACTTACCTTCTATGTAATTGATTAGCAAGATCTTTCCAATACCGGACTTCATCATCCTTAGACACAAACTGTGGAGGGTCAATGTCCATCATTTTTCAGATATTTCCAATTTTATTGCTCAAATTTCAGGTTGTTGTTTTGAAAGCAAATGACAGGTACGATATATTCTATTTTATCAATAGCATTGGAGCATCCTATAAACAAAACAGATTAATTTATACTCAAGAATTTGTCCAATTCATGAATAGCTTGTGATAAGACATTTATGCTCTCGTCGCTGAGTATATACCCGTCGCGGTGAAAGTTTCATTGCTTTCGTTAGCCAAAAGTGTAAAAGAAAAAAAAAACAGAATAAAGAGAGAATAAATGCAATTACCCACTGGATGTACG